GTTTAGAGTGACGAGGTAGTACTCATGGTGAAATTACTGTGTAATAAAAGTTTGTATCGAGGAAGAATAAACTGAGTTAATCAAGAAAGGACTTGTATTGCTGAAATTTCTTGGAAAGAATTTATACCAGAAATTAACAAACAAGCAGATACGCAACAGCTGTAATATAAATCTTCCTGTGGGAAAGAAAACTCTGAACTCTAAACTTGTGTAATTGAAAATTTTACTACATAAAACAAGTTTTTGGCTTCCTTGAAATGAACGTTTCATAAATCTAATTTGAAACATAAATTGACATAAATTAACAAATATATAACCAGAATATAATCTCTGAGTGGAACATGACTTTCTCAGCTTTGGCCTTCAGACTCAATGTCCAGTATATACCAAATGTAAAAAGTGCAGAGTGATTTTTAACTATATACTATGGAACACAGCTAATTTAATGTGCCTCAAAATCACAAAACCTGATTGGCCTAGGCACCACTAAGTGTTGAATTCTATCCAATATTATTCTTAATTTTAGAAATAGGACAAAAATGAGTGTATCACTTGGGTCAACAATATTGCTACTAAACACTGAAACAGGATAGGTTGGGAAGAGGGAATAAAAGACTTAGTCAGTTAGTGACACAGCAATTTTGTTCTAAGCTTACAAATAGAAACTATTAATTCTAACCATAATCTTCAAAATAGTGCAACGTCTACATCATTAACACTGATTTTAAATTTAGCATCAAATTAAAACCTAAACTCAACACACTTCCTTTATAATTCTTCTTATTCCTTCACTAGGAGCATCAGAATAATTTATTGGATCTTCAGACAGAAGTTTCATCAGCCTAATTTTACCATCAGGGCATCTACCAAAGATGTCTGTGAATGTTCCACCTCTATCAATGGCAAACTGAAACCCTGTTAACAGTGGTAATTTTTCACACTCTTTCTCTTCCATACTTATTTTCTTGTTATATCCCCCATCGATGTTTACATAAAACTCAAAAGCACATGACCGAACATCCTAAGAAGCTCCAGAGGTCGCCTACGTTGAATATATATATATATATATAGTATATGTATAATTACTTTATTATAGGTATAATTATAAGTCACGTAAATATATTTCCCAATAATCCAAACTGCATGAGCGTTCAAAACTTCTCAAGGCTCTTATGAAAAACACTTTATGTAAATACATATATATTCAAAATAATTTTCGTAAAAGTATGAATGACATGGTTAAAGGAATTATAATAGTAGCCACATGACGTTTATTAACGTCGGATATATAAATTTATATAATAGTAAATTAAAAAATATTTTTTCATCTTTTCTAGGCACTAATAACGAAAGAAGAATAACATTTGCAACACTTCTTCTATTACGTTTATGACCATTATGAATAAAATTAAATGTTATTTTCTGTAATTATTATTTGCTTGTTTGTTTTCTTTATTACCGCAAAGCTAAATAATGGACTATATACATGTAACATTCTGAGGTAAAATTTTTGATTTCTCGACAAGTGTAAGATAGACGGAAGGGCAAATAACTACAGATTCATTAACTTAAGGGCGTAAGGTGAGTGATTCTCGTGAAGTAACTTTAACTGAGTCTTCCTATTGTGTGTCAAACAATGAAACTGGACAAAATTGATAAAAATTAAGATAATCTTTTAATTATCTTTATTTTTGAACAAACAAAAAGTATGCGTAACGTAAGTATTTGCGCGCCTGAAAAGACGATCACTTCTAGTATTATTATTAGTATTAGGCTGTGCTTAGTCCCACAGCTTTCTTTCTCTTATGATAGACTTCCGTCGAACGAAACATGACAATCTCAAAAATAACTATTTACCCTGTAACTTCTTAACATAATTGAATAAAGAAACTGAACTCGCTTTCTTTGTCCGGTCGAGATTATCATCTCACGACCTTTGTTCTCTTACACCACTCGTCGGCTGTTACATATAATCTACATCACACTCGGCCGGCAAAAGGTATTGCCGTGGCAATCCCTTTAAACCCAAATGCTATGTGTCACTACAATATCATTTCAAGTAGAAAATATTTATCTAATATAGAAAACAATGAAACATAGCAACTATAAGAAACTAATCTCAACGACTTTCTGGACCACATGCTGCCCCCGTTATAGCATTGAAACTAAATAATTGGATAATTTTAGACATTTCTTTATTACTATAACAGGTAAAAAACATATAATATGCCTTCCAATCACAGGTACTCTGTTCACTGCAGGGAGTCGAGCCCCGGATTTCAGCATCATAATTCTGTGAACTTACCAGTGACCCACTATGGACATTCTGTGGTGAAAAGATTATTTAAGTGTTTAACTATTTATTGTAAACTACATGATATATCTCTCAGATAGTTGAAGTTCCTTTCATCTTGTCTGTCAAAAAATTATTAACCTTGATGTGTAATTGTTCATACTCATTTTGCATTATTATAGAAGTATATATTAACTTGACATTGACTGAAACAAATGGCCAATGTATATCTTGAAAACTACTGGAATATTGTTTTATTTAAGGTTAAACTGATTTCCACAAAGATATACTACATCTACTTTATAATGGGAGGATTAGCAGGATAAATGTCAATGTAATGTTGAACTTTACTAAACTGACTGAGTTTAAGCCATGAAATAAAAATTTTGGACACAATGTGTGATACAAATTGAACAAAAATCTATTTATGTAAAAGTTGAAAACATTAGAGCAATAGCTCCTCCCTGGACATAGCAAATATTATCTCCAAAGAACAACAAAGGTACAAAGGCATCTAAAATGAAGTCAACCTAATGGTTTTATGAACCATGTGTTAAGTGAAAACTGTACAGATTTAGAATAAAGGAAAAGATTTAAACTTCTATACTGAAATAGAAAAGTAGAAAACACATTATATGCCTGGATACCACAATATTTGTAATGTCAGACCTTATGTATCTAGTAATTTTACCTTAATATATCTGGATTTCCATATATTTCTAGACATCATTTTGTTTCTATAAATCTGCTGCTGCTGACTGCTACTACTTAACATCTAGATGAGTTCTCTTCATGCATTGTTTCCACATTTGCTTTTTAATCTGATAGTGGGTATTTATTGGTTATTAAGTATAACTTATCCTCCTATGATAACAAGTATCATATTAATACTCTTTACAGAAATCACTTTAACCTGAAAATACCACACAAAAATAGGTTTATTTTTAATAATGAAGAAATAAATACATAATTAAAATTCATTGACAATTAAATTAGTCAAAATCACATTCATATAAGAAAAGAATGTTTTTAACAAAGATTAATCACAATACAAAAGTGACAAATTAGTTACATCAATAAAATCCATCAACTAGAACAAACTCTTTAATAATGGAATACAGCTAATCACACAGTAAATAAATATTTATAATACCGGAATACATCTGTCAAAAAATTGCATGAAAACATAGCAAAACATACAGAAATAACCCTTACGCTGAAAAAAGCAAATAAATAAAATATACCCATTAACAATGATAATTGATTTTGATCATCATGGTTTAAATAAAATCAAAAACAGAAATGGAAAAGAACTCTTTTAACATCACATATTGCAAAAACATATGAGAACAATAAATATACCTTTTAACATAGGTGTAACTCATAGCACAAGCAAAACTTTTAAATAATTATAGTTACTTTTAAACATTTTACAGGAAAATAAAATTAAACCTAGAATTAACCAAGACCTTTTAAATACAATATGTGTAAGATAAATCACTTTAAACAAATAAATATAATACTAATAAAAAACAGAAGTTATAAAAGACCATTATATAAGAATGACAATATTAAGCTATAATAAACATATATGATCCTCACCCAAAAAACAACAACAATAAAAACATAATAAAAAATAAAAAAGGAATGCATGACACACATAAGCAGATAACAATAATAAAAAGAAAGAACAAAGAATACATTCTACACTACAAATTAAAGCAACCATTAAAAATATAGATTTACAATAATCATAACTGGAACATTTTAAGTACAAAAATAAATCAAACATGTATAAATAAAACTGATTGGCAAAGATAAAATATTTACTCAACTAGGAACAATATTGACATGATATATATTCTACTCTCAGGGTAACCTGAGATAGGAACTCTCTCATCCTACTCTAACCCTGACAGTAGATCCCTCCAGTGCTGCCATGAGTTTTCTGATGGTAGTGATCTGCTAGATGATCTCATTGGCTTTTGCCAGGGCCTTATGGACCTGAGACAAATCTGCATGTAATTCTCATACCTTTTCTAAATCTTTTAACCAAGATGGGGGCTCCTGGTGTTTCTGCAGCTGGTTCTCCTCTTGGTTCTAGAAAGCCCACTCCTCTGATCATTTACAGCTTGTTCCTAGCAATGGCTTTTCAGCACTGTATTTTGGTTTAGTGTAAGCCAATTTATGATGGTTGTTGGTGGTTTAGTGAGGTGCTCTAACCTTTGCTGCACCTGGGATAAATCACATAGCCAATTTGGTGGACGTTGTTTGAATGCTGTGAATGTTGAGACACCAATGTTCATTGTCAATACCCTTGCCTCTGGTGTTGCAGAAATTGCTGGTTATTGAGCTCTTAGTCCCAGCTCAAGAAGACCAGTGTATTGCTTGGATGACCCTCAGGAAGAGTTTAGCTCTGGAATAGTCTTTCTTGGTTTCAAATTATAGTGATCCTGCCAGGGGAAAGTTCACATCTGGCACCTGGTATTATTTTGTGCTGGTGTATCCTATGATAGGATACCTTACTAGCCAGAATCAGCATCCTTTGGAGGCATAGTGTTCTCCTTTTATCTGTGGCAACATGAGGCTGAGGCACATGAAGGCTGGATGTGACTGAAGTAGCTAGCACTGGTGGCATAAAGTCAGCTGCAGCTGAGTTCACTGCCAACAGCTTGAACTGGATAGGTTGAAGAGCAGTCACTTGAGTTGCCTAGCCCCAGGCAACAGATGCAAGAGCCAATCCATCAATGGATTTAGCAATACCATAAGCAACTAATGTGTCACTCAGCAATGCACATTCATCAATGGCTTCAACCAATCCAAGATATAGGTGGCTCTAGGAATCTTGAGAATGGCTGTTAGGTACAGGTCTGACCCATCACCAAATAGGAAGTCCTAGGCATGTTGGTGCTCATAGGCTCCTTCCATTCTATAGTGGCTTATTGTAACTAAAGGGATAGAGTTAATACATAATAGTAACAAACTGGTTAGCTGATGAAACAAAACAACCAGAAGGGCTTCAGATGCAGAACAATAAAACGATCATCTTTTTCAACTGACATTTTACATGTAAAACACTTATCCCTAACAATTGTGAATGGCTCAGCCCTTCCAGTTTCATTATGTTTCTGCTTGGCCAGTAAGTATAGCTGTGCTGCTCACTGATATCTTTACTGTGGGAAAAGCTAACACAGCTTACCCTCTAACTCAATCCCATTCCTTCACCTACCATTTCATTGTTACAAGATCAAAGCTCTAGGTTCCAGTATTAAAGAAATGGAGAAACTGGTTCATAAATACATGTGCCAGATTATTGGAGACTAAACTCAAACTTTTGAACATAAGAATCAGCTAATATTTACATTGTCTTTTCCTTGGGACTTCTTCCAGGTACAAAGAGAAACTTCTTTTTCTTTTTTGGGGCAATTTCAAATTTTCACTGTATTGGTATTACTTTCATTCAATCATATGTCTTTGGATGTACCTTGTATTGAAAAAATCGTTAAGAAAATGTTCAGTAAAACTCTGTGCTTATAAAACATTTCAGGCTGCACATGACTGAAAATGTTCCATCATAAGCAAATTAGACACTGGATATATTAAATATATCCAAGCTATTTTCTCTGAATTTCATCTACCATTGATAATTTTGTACACTCATAGATATTTCAGTTCAATCCAATTGAAATAGATTGCATTACTCTTACCAAAAAATATTGGATAAAACTGTATTTTCTATCAAACAATTTCTATATTACTCTTATCTTTTCCAGA